CTCCCCAACAGATGAAGTTCACGATCCCAGGAAGTAGCTAATGATTGTACATCACTTGGAATGTTGGGTTTGGTGGAAGTACTGGTAGGAGTAGGTCGTGAGTTTTCATAGCTTTTTCTGAAACTTTTCTTAACAGAAGCTGGGTTCCCAGCATGCCTTGCTCCTCACAAATAGATTGGAGCATTGTTTTTTTTGGGGGGAAAAAAGGGTCCCCACGCGATGGAATACTATTAGGGGCTTTTCCTCCTCTAATTTCAAAAGCAAGAAAAAGCTAGGTTACCAGTCATCCTATACCTTTCTCGGCCTTTTGGCTAAGATCAAGTGTACTATCTGTTCTGATCAGTTTAATATCTGATCTGTGGTCCATCGGACGACACGATATTAATTATTTTTTCTGGGCCGCGGAGGGGTCATACGGGTAAGCTTGCTTACTCGACCCCTCCACCGTTGCCTCTGTATTGCACTGCTGCAGAGCGCGGCGCAGCCCTCTTAAGGTTGCCAGTCGTCCGATCAGAGGACATTCTGGCCATATGTCTCCATCGTACGTCCTGGGTGGGAGTTGCGGGATCCCAACAGCTCACTTTCTCCCGAGTTAAAAGCGGGGGAAAAAAATGGGGGGGGTCTGCGCTCGATGTGGAGACCCTGAAAAAACAATTCAGCTCATTTTAAGCAAAAAAGTTGAAAAAACATGAAAAATCAAAAAAATGGGGAAAGAGGGTGGGGGGTTGTGGTGTGTGGAGGGTCCGCTGCTGTGAATGCAGCAGTTGTTGCAGCAGGTTGCACCTGGAACAGATGCAGCAGCTGGTGCAGCAGCTGCTGCATGCGCAGCATCTGCACCATCTGCAGCTGCAAATGCAGCAGGTGCACTCGCTGCGGCATCTTGTGCAGCAGATGCAGCAGATGCAGCAGCTGCTGCATGTGCAGCATCTGCTGCAGCAGAGGCAGCATTTACTGCGGCAGCAGCAGCTGCAGGGGCTGCAGATGCATCAGCTGCTGCGGCAGCTGATGCAGCACCTGCTGCAGCAGGAGATGCATCTGCTGTATCTGCTGCTGCTGCATGAGCAGCAGCAGCAGCAGCAGCAGCAGAGGCTGCAGCAGTTCCAAAAAAAAAAAAAAAAAAAAAAAAACAGCAAATAAGCGGCAGTCCAGAGCATGAATAACAACAAAACTCCAGGTATTGATGGACTAACTAAAGAATTTTGGGAGAAATTTTGGCCACTTCTTGGGGGTGATCTACTGAATTTCTACAAGGACAGCTGGCTGAAGGGGGGCCTTGGTGACATGTTGAGCAGCAGTGTTGTCACACTTCTATACAAAAAAGGGGACAAAGAAGACATACGAAACTACAGGCCCATTTCTCTACTCACGTTGCCGTACAAAATCTTGGCGAAAACCCTTGCCCTYAGGATATTGGATCTGACGGACAAGTGCTTTCAYATAGACCAGACAGGGTTCATAYYGGGAAGAYACATTCTGGACAATGTACTCACTCTAAATGAAGCGGCCAACAAAGTAAGAGAAAAAAGAATTAGTACAGCAATAATGTTCTTTGACTTTGAAAAGGCTTATGACCAGGTCAACTGGTCCTTCCTAAATTCGAGTATTGAAAAGATGGGGGTAGGTCCGATCTTTAGAAAATGGATACGTACCTTGTACAATGATGCCATTGGCTGTGTACAAGTCAATGGTCTACTATCAGAATGCTACCCAATATCACGATCAGTCCGTTAGGGCTAACGATCCTTTAGCCCCTCCAATCTTCCTTTTTGTTATGGAATCAATAGCCTCCTTTCTACGGAAAGACCCCTCCATTCACAGACTCCCAGAAATCAACGCAGGATCGGTCCATCATCTAAAGTTCCCTACAGTTATAATGTTCGCAGACGACCTTACGGTTCTCATACGAGCCTCAAACTCGTCCTTCAGTGCTTTAGTAAGAGCTATGGAAGCCTTCAGACTGGCCTCGGAAATGAAGATTAATTGGACAAAAACGGTTGGGTGGTGGTTGGCAGAGGAAGAACCCCCGCAGCTCCAAGACCCAGAGGCAACGTTGACCTGGGAGACACCGGAGACACCTACACGATACCTAGGAATCCTGATGACAAAAAAAGGCTTTGCCCCCCAAATGGCCCAGAATGTGCTGACCAAACAAATCAATAAAATGGGCAGGTGGGGCAACACTTTCACATCTCTGCTGGGACGCGCCCTAACCCTCAACACCTCCATCTTTTCGATGATGTGGTATATAGCCTCAATCTGGTCTGTACCAGACGAGTCAATCGAGGAACTCAATCGGGTAGCAAGGGCCTACCTATGGTCTGGTGACCCTAACAGAGTCAACTGCATCCCTAAGATAGCATGGCATTACATCACGAGGAAACCAAGTAGAGGAGGATTGGGGATCATCGACCCCAAACAATAAACCAAAGCTCTACAGGTCAAATGGATCATCAAAATGCTCACGAAGCCAGGCACAGCGTGGAACAAACTAGCCTTGGATATCATTAGAGGACTAGCTCCGATACCTACACCAACAAACATGTCAGGTCTTTTCTGGGTGATGAACAAGGAATGGACACCCAACACAGGAC